AATAATTCTGTTGCTAAATAAAACATCTTATTGGCAACTCTCAATTAAATATCACGAATTTCCATGTTGATTCGCGGATCACCGATATTCGCAGTTGCCAATTGTTTCCGTTTTTACAATCGAACGAACGGCCGGAATGGAGACCTTTTATTAAACGAGAATCTTTTACTGAAGTGTATCTCGATTCGATCGTGGGCGTGGATTAATCGTAACGAAAAACAATGCGCGTGGTCACTTCTATTCATACGGCGAAATGAAATCTCCCCGAAATAAGTTGGTCCAGTTCGTTTATTCATTACGCGATCGTGTCATCCACCTAGCACCGATGGTTTCAATTGAATTAATCGTTTGTCGCTCGAATGGCCGAATGGCACCCTTTTCAAACTATCAGGTCGGCTTGCATGAAATTTTTTTCGAACACAGCGGATTAAAATTTTCTATTGAACTCTTAAATAGTTAAATAATTTAATTATCCCAGATGTATTAAAAATTGGAATATAAGGATAATTGAAGATTCATAGTAAAAATGAACGTTAAAAACGAAAAACTAAAGTTTAGAGTTTTATGATTTATTAAATACAGTATTTTATATATTATACCTAAACAAACTGCAACCTATAGAACAAAAATAAAGACGCTACGATGTTCGATTTTTTTTTCTTGACAAAAATAAATTGACGTAATTTCTGGTATGAACTATTATACTAAATCCATCAATACTTCAGTTATCATACTAGCTAATAACGTTGTACTTCTACTCAAATAAGACTGTACTGACGTATACCAAATTATTTTAATTTCTCTTTAACTCATGATAGTGGATGATGAAACGAAACATGATAAATGATCTATGATCTTAATTGGAAAAATTCAAAGTTGAGCAAAACGAAATATGTTTAATTATGTTAATAGTTTATGTACTCAATTTGTCTATCGTTCCAGTAAACTACGAATTTATGTGGGGGGTAAAGAATAATCAATCTAACTAGCGCGGGCCTCTATTTGTCTTCCACGAATGCTAGCGTAAATTACAAGTTTGCGTTGTCGCAGTGCAGTGAATGCGCTTGCTCTCTAATTTTATCAAGGCACAAAGCTCGCAGCATTTAATTGCATACGCTTAATATCAATATTTACTGATTGTGAGAACTCCATTGTATCTAGTTGCTGGAAGCTATTGACAAATGGAATTATCTTTTTACCATAATTATCTTTATCACATGACATTGCAAAGAATAGTTTCAACAATATTTTGTAATGTAAGAATTTTTAACAGTGTCCTAGAACATTTCCAAGTACTTATTATTTATCAAAAGGTTTGACAAATACTCCAAATTAATAATTTAGAGAAACTATTTCAATTGAAAGATTTAATTAAATTATTAAATAAATTATATAATCGTAATCACATAAAAAATCATGCAATATACCATGAATAATTCCAGTAAAATTGTATTTCATGATAGACGATGAAACTGGACTCGATTTTCATGTAATAATTTCAGTGACAATTGAGCGTTCTTTAAAATTGCCAATTATTCAGATCAAAATTTGACATCGTATGAATTCGAGAAATTATTCCAATGATTAGAACAGTTGCGATTTTATGTAAGTTTTCATCTGTCAAAATAAAGGGAAGCGAATATAAATTGTAAACCAGATTCATTCAAGATAAACTGACATAAGAGACTTCTCTTTGATTATTCACTGAAGTATTATAAATTTTCATTTGCTCATTAGCATTCTTAGAACGTCTCGTTCTATCATACATTTTAAAATATGTATCACATATATTATGTACGTATATACAAGTATAGGTACGTATGTAATGATGAGACGCTACGGATAATTATGATATAAGTGGATACGCAGGATAACGAATGAAATTGGTGAAGTGGTTCCTCAAGGGAGACGATCATCAGAATGATGTTTCAAGGATAACTGAATCGGTTTTCGCGGTCCGTACGTGTGCCACGCGTCATGTCATTTGGAATCGCTGGGAGATAAATCGCGTGTTCGTTGTCGTCGTTATCGAGGAATCACAGACAAGGGTAAAATGGACGGCAGGAGAGTAATAGAATAGTAGATGAATTTGTTTCAACGTTGTTGCGCGTACCAAAGATAAATCGTTCCCCTTCCACGATTGACCGAGCGAGTTTATTTCCCTCGTGACCGGCTACTTTCCCCTTTTTTTCTTTTCCTTTCCTCCTTAACATAGATATCTCATGTGGTCAAGCGTCTAGGGCCTAGGGACTCGTAAAATCGCAAGGGGAAAGTTCATGAAGGATATCGATGTCGCGAAAGTTTGTTTCATCTCCGATTCTAAGCTGTTTTTACAAGAATGTAAGATACTACGTAAACGTAGACTCGCGTAATATGTCTCTTAGCTCCTAAACAAATATTTCTTTTAGAGATTTCTTCATTTTATTATTTTTTAAAAAGCTCTTAGGTGGGATCATTTGACAGTGGACTTTCGTGTCATGGAAAATTATTAGAAATATATATCGTTTCAAGAATACTCATCGCGGGGGAGGGGCCTATGAAAAGCGACCACACAAATGCAACACTCGATCGTTATAATTAGAGTGGGTATACTCGCGCATGCATCGATACTTTGGCTCTTAAATCCCTGTGGGAAGCAACAGGTTCCTTGTCGAAGCTCTTAGACCTGGCTGACGAAAGCCGTTTCGTTTTATTCTAAAAATAATGTCCGAGCTTCAGACTTCGCTGCGTTTCTGAGAAATCTTTGCGACCTTTCTTGGTAAACGACACGCAGTCAATAAAAATAGGAAAATGTATATGTTTATAGATATTATAGTGGGATTTTTATGAGCGTATTAAGAGGAAACGAGGGTCCAATTAAAGCAGGAACTGAATAAGAAAACTTTAATAAATGAATCATTACATAAAATGGTATCAAATGCTACAATACTCTGTAAACGACGCTGTTTCATACGACGCGATCGACTGACTGTTCAACAGTTCTTCGACTACTATCTTTTGTTTTTCGGAAGTTTACAGTGGCCGTTTGCCACTCCAACCGGTTTTCCACACGAAAACAACGTCATGGCTCTACCGTAATGTAATAAATATTCACCAAACATTCGCTACCCTACATTATACTTGTGAACAGATTTCTTATATTTATGCAAATGCAATCAAAAAGAATATACAATAACTCTAGTAACAATTCTAGTCTAGCATGGGAAAATATGTCGTAAAGCTTTTCAGAATTACGACAATTTCACTAACAGATTAATAAAAAAAATAAATAGAAATTAAAATATATGTTGTTCTTCAATTTACAGAGATAAGACACCTCGTCAGAAAGCAGAGCACGATAGACGTTCACTCGGTTAAAGTCAGCCTGAAGGATATCGTATGCTATCTTTCCCTTCTGGAGGCTGGCAGGCCAGAAGATAAATTAGAGTGTAAGTAATTGTACTTCCCATATCGATCGAAGCTAATTAAAATATCTAAACTACGGTTTTTTATGGTAAATAGAACGTGTATCGGAGTTAATTAAAACAATGCATTTTAGATAAAGATTTCTTTCATCATCTACTCACTGCAACATCTTTACTCTCAATCTTTGAAACTTATAATAATTAGTCCATTTTTAATTATTGTTTATATCCTGTAAAGAATCACAATATATAATGCAATGTAAACTAATGAAATTGCAAGTACTTTACTATAAATCTTGTTTACGTACACCAAATTATCTCATCTCCATTTTAATTCAAAACGGTGGATGAGGGGAGAAACTATGATAAATGACCTCTGGCCGAAAAATTCGAACTTGAAAAATAAAACGACGTTTTATATACATGAACCTAGTAGCCATTCCCTCGACGCGTCGGCTGCACTTGCTCTTGAATTCGCACATCTAGAGCAACTTGTTGCACACCAATTTCAACGCTCATTAATTCATTTCTTTTTTCGCAGTCATGTTCCGGCTATACGATACAGATGGGAATGGTGTTCTCGATACCAATGTAAGTAAAAAAAGAGTTACCACTTTTCTTTCTGGGTGCTAATTATGATGATCGTTGAAAGAAATCTTAGACATTTTTACTCGCGATCTCCGATTACCTTTGCAATTAATTGTTAATTATTATTTTGTGCCTTGCTACGAATCCTAATGTATTAGTAAATTATGTTCTCATGTACTTTAATGAAATTATAATGTCCTTATCCTAAATTTTATAGACGTATACTAAATTATCTGATTTTCATTTTCTTTCTTACGGTAAAACCAATCTACATTCAAACGATTGAAATTGAATTAAATTACATTGACAAATTGGGGCAACTAATAACAATAATCAGATGATTATTAACGATAATAGTAATAGTAAGATATATGACGATATAGTACTAGCCTGGCAATGAGATGCAATTGCACTGATTGCATCGTATCTCGTATCTCTGTGCTTAACACCACATTATAACACGTTCCTAGGAAATGGACTGCATTGTCAATCAGATGATGAACGTCGCCGAATATCTCGGATGGGACGTTACAGAATTGAAACCGGTGAGTTGGATTATATTGATTGATTGATAAATGTATATCATTCCTTTACTCGGTGCCTAGTCATGCGCCTCGTATTAGAAAATAATTTTCACGATGTTTTCAAAATAATCGAACAAAAATAAACCAGCCTTGATGACGCGATATATTGGTATGAGTCTCCAAAAGTATTTGACATCAATATGTAATACAGTAAAATAAATGATATATGTATAAAACACGAAGCTTACTTATTTATATATACAATAGAGATAGCAAATTGATGATTATTATTTAAATCTAAATCCTCGATATTTATAGATACTTCAAGATATGATGGTAGAAATAGACTATGATGCCGACGGTACCGTATCGTTGGAGGAATGGAAAAGAGGTGGCTTGACGACCATCCCGTTGTTAGTGCTTTTGGGCCTTGATTCTCACGTGAAGGAAGATGGGAATCATCTCTGGAGACTAAAACATTTTAGCAAGCCCGCTTACTGTAATCTTTGCTTGAATATGCTAGTCGGTCTCGGCAAAAAAGGTCTTTGCTGTGTTTGTAAGTATCATGAAGAATCGCTTTCTCTTTACTGTCGCGTTCTTTCTTCGCACGCGTTACAAAATGAGTCATCCGGCGGGATATTCTTATATCTTTTTATTTCTCTCTACTTTTGTTCCGCAACAGTAGGACGGTTTTCGTAGATTATATAATTTCCGATGTTTAGTAAAAAAAAAAAAATGAGTAGGGTATTAATGAGTCTTCTTTTTTGTATCGAATGATTTATTTTCTCTTTCATCTACAGTCTGCAAGTATACGGTTCACGAGAGATGTGTTCAAAGAGCACCAGCCTCTTGCATAGCCACTTATGTGAAAAGTAAAAAGACATCTCAAACGATGGCTCACCATTGGGTCGAGGGGAATTGCCATGGGAAATGTTCCAAGTGTAGGAAGACCATCAAAAGTTACAACGGTATCACTGGTCTACATTGCAGATGGTGTCAATTGACCGTGAGTAATCTTTTTATAACGAATCTCTGAGAAAGGTGAAAATGTTGATAGAAAACTATGATCGTCGAGAACTTTTGCGTATTCGTATTTGAGTTCACAAGTCAAAGAATATGGAGAGAAAAGAAAAAAAGTCGCAAATACACATATGGAGTGAAAAAATTACTTATGTCTATGTTCTAATATCAATCTTTCAAGTTTTACGGTTTTTCTTTTCCTTTTTTTAATTGATTAATTAAAATCAGTTTAGATAAATTCGAAAACGCGCTGCTTTGAGTGCATGCTTTCAACAGTTGCAACGACTTTACAGTTGCATAACAAATGCGTGTCTCAAGTCAGAGCGGATTGCACGCTCGGCGAGTACGCGATCCATATCCTACCGCCTACGGCGATCTGTCCGGTTGTCTTGGACAGACAAAGATCATTGTCCCGGGATAGTAAAAGGGGAAGTAAACACGGTCAGGATTCCTCATCCACAAACTTGGTAAGTAACTTGGCAAACGCCAAAGGGAATAATTAAACAGTAGTCAAACGGAACCTAATACAGAATTTAACGGTCTGTTAATAGTGTGGGTTTCTATCTTCTGGTGGCGGCAATCAACAACCAGCCATGTCTTTCCAAATTACACCGCCCCCCGGTACGATACCGTTGCTCGTGTTCATAAACCCGAAATCTGGCGGTAGGCAAGGCGAACGCATGCTGAGGAAGTTCCAATACATTTTGAACCCGCGCCAAGTTCATAACTTGGCCGTGGGCGGACCTATGCAGGGTTTGCAAATGTTCAAGGACGTGGAGACCTTTAAGGTGATCTGCTGCGGCGGTGACGGTACCGTCGGCTGGATTTTAGAAACGATGGGTACATACATTTAAACGATATGTTAACGCTACTCCCGAAGGATCAATTAATGAACAGATTTTTGCATGTTTAGATCGCGTACAATTCGAACGGCAACCAGCTGTGGGCGTCATACCATTGGGCACTGGAAACGATCTTGCAAGGTGTTTACGATGGGGTGGTGGTTACGAAGGGGAAGCTATATACAAGGTTCTCAAGGTACGTAATTCAAATCGATTTGCTTAATAATATTCTTGTTAATATATGTGTTTAAAAAAATGAAAAAATTTGCAGAAAATAGAAAAAGCAACGCCAGTAATGATGGATCGTTGGCAAATAGACGTTCTCGATCAGAAGGACGAGAAAAAATCTAAGTCGAGTCAAGACACTATACCGTACAATATCATTAACAATTACTTTTCGGTGGGTGTGGACGCAGCCATTTGCGTGAAATTTCACATGGAAAGGGAAAAGAATCCTGAAAAGTTCAACAGCAGAATGAAAAATAAGCTTTGGTACTTCGAATATGCGACCACGGAACAATTCGCTGCCAGTTGTAAGAATCTTCACGAAGATCTAGAGATTATCGTATGTATACATTTAATATTTTAATTACGTTCGTTTGTTTAATGGTAATGTTGATGATATTTTATTTACAGTGCGACGGAACCCCGTTAGACTTAGCGCACGGACCTTCTCTTCAAGGTGTCGCCTTATTAAACATTCCTTTCACTCACGGAGGTTCCAATCTCTGGGGTGAACACCATACGAGGCATCGGCTCGGTAAACGAAAGAAACGGCCGGATAAAGAACTCAGTACCAGTAGCTTTAACTCCGTTGATCTCACAGCCGCGATACAAGGCAAGTAATATAAACAAGGACGACGTGACGTTCCATTAATTGTCAAAAGATTAAACGAATGATAACCGATAAATTTATAGATATTGGTGACAATCTCATAGAGGTGATCGGTTTGGAGAACTGTTTACATATGGGTCAAGTGAAAACGGGACTTCGTCATTCCGGTAGGAGATTGGCTCAGTGCAGCAGTGTCACTATCACCACCACTAAACGCTTTCCGATGCAAATCGATGGCGAACCGTGGATGCAAGGCCCATGCACGGTAAGCTGATCTTTTTAAACATTCAATTTAATTGGGATTAAAACGAATTTTCAATTTTCATCAATATCGTAAACCATTTTGTACTAGTAAAACCAACTGCATTTCTTTCATTGTTTCAGATTCACATAACGCATAAAAATCAAGTACCTATGCTAATGGCACCTGCACCGGAAAAGGGCCGAGGTTTCTTCCGTTTCTTAAGGAGGTGAACTTCGTAGTTACCAACTAATGAATCCGAGCAGTCGAAATAAACATCTCGGGTTTCATTTTCTAATCAAAGAAAGTGAATAGTCTCGATATGATTACATCCGTTTTCTTTCGATTACACAAAAGTGGGACGGAAACGCATCGGTTCGTACTCAGCACAGCTTTAGCGGTCGTCTAATTGTATGAGCGGAACGAACTTCGACATAACTTAGGTATTCTTGTGTACAGTATTTTTGAGAATAATAACAAGGCACCATTCGTCTCTAGAGTTAGGTACCAAGCGGTAGGCTCGTTAATCGTTGGTGCTTCAAACCGAAATTTTGATTCTTTTGTATACACATTTACCACGCTGAGAAGCCAACGAATGTCGTATACATTTCCGTTGCCTCGCGAATCTGTGGCTTGAGCCTACCGCTTTAAGTATGCGAGCAAGTATGAACCAGTTCTATCGCAATTTGTCGCGTAATTAAAGTAATACCGATACGACGGATTGTACGGTATCATGCAAAAGAGAAAACAATATCATAAGTAACGGTATTTAGGTATATACTATTTAACGATTACGTTTAATCATTGTTTCTTCGCGTGCAATGTCCAATACAGTATCGTAAATATTTCGTTTCCTCTATAAAATATATTAAGCTATATTCAAAAGACCTAAGGATTAACAGATCTCATATAAATAATATTGTTGCAGTTGAGAAGTATATAAAATTTAGTTTTATATTTACTAAACGATGAACATAGTTTCTACTACGTGTATATTATTTTATGTATTGTATTATATTTACTTTCTTTTACGATCTGTGTATGCCCGATCAGTTTTGCAACATCATTTTGCAACTTAATTTTTATATTAATAGAAGAAACTTGTCGAAGTAAATATTGATAAAACGATTATCCAGATCTCTCTTCTTTTTTGCACGACTCCGTCCAACAATCAAAGATCTACTTTCTCTTTTTAAAATTAGAATCTTTGTACGGAAGCTTAGTCGTAATTACTGTTTAGACGTAAATCATGGTCGATTGGTTTTTATTTTACTTACTTATTTATTTATTTATTTATTTATTTTTTCAAATTTATTTATTTCTTCGATGTATAATAAACAATATATCGTAAGCATATCAGTAAACAAGAATATCGCTAAAAAGTTGTAGCATTTACTTGACCCGTATTGTTGAACTTTCGTATATATCGCTTGTTACTTGGTGCAATAGTTGCACGATCATTAATTCGATAAGCTTCTTAATTTATCATTACCTTCTATACGTTAGCCACTCTTTAATCAAGTACATTTATTAACAAAGTGAATGCTTTCGTAATCGCGCGCATATCAATGCGTTGCGTGTTACTAACATAAGACATAGAGAAGTGAATCACGTATACTTACTGTTAGCATTACATTGTTATTAGATAAGTAGGAAACAAAAGTAGACGTTAAGAAGTTTAATCAAAATCGATTCAGCCAACGTGTGAAATACGATGATCAGTATTGTGGTATGGAATTTACAGAAACTTTCGTAGAATTTTACTAACTATATTAGTATATATTTTCTCATCACTTGCATAAAGATTCTCGTGTATTTTTTCATATCCATAGCCTTGCTACTACTCTGAGATACTTTCCGTTTTTCTCTCTCTCCCCACTATTTATTATGTGCTCTTCACTATCGAAAACACAGACAAGAATTGAGGATTGAAATCATATGTATGAGTGTAAATCAACAGTTACGCTGCTAAGGGCGATATTTTGAGTCGTTGCTTATTCTTAAGATCGTCTTAAGCATTTGCTATCCCTGTCTATCCCATGTTTCCAGTCCCTGTCTTGTACAGGAAACAGGGACTTAGGCAAATGCTTAAGTCGATCTTAAATATAAATAACGACTCTGAATACTAGCCTAAGATTATCAATCCATCATTTGTAGAAACTTTTTTTATTATTCCTCGAATGGCATTTTAAAAATCTTCCGTCCGATGCATTTGATACAAGTGATCTTTTTCTATTTGTTTCGCTGCGCTTGATATTTCTTTTCTCATTATCCCGAAATGTCAATTCGAAGAAAAAGAAGAAGAAGAAGAGAAATATAATCGATAACGAGTTTTGCCGCATTTTCACAAGAAGATGGTCGCAGCAATATTATTGAGTAGAGTGCTTCGATCGATTTGTAAAAGTAAAAGATGAAATAATAAATTTTTATAAGTCAGTATCGAGTCAGACACCTCTTTAACACGTATGTACTATTTCGTCTCTCGTAACGCGTGTTTCATGCTTTTGTATGAATAGTATGAACGAAAACGTAACGTAAAATAACATCCCGCAGGGACCATCGTACAAAATGATCCTAAATTTTAACTTGGAGCAGTGACGACCATTAGCTTCCCGTAATGCTTCAATTTAAGCGATTTCAGCGAGATACGATTTTTTCTCGGAATTCGTTCAATTTTATTCTGTATCTTCCTTTTACTCTTTATAGTCTTTGCCAAATTAAACATATGTATATTTATTGTTACATAATACAAAATATCGCCGACGAATTTCGTTGAAAAAACGTTCTAAAGACAAGCGTTTAACTAGTCAATACTTTTATGCGTGTATATTTTCTCAATCCAATTTTTATTAAGAATTATACGACTCTTTCGTCGTGCAAATAATGATCGTTTTCCCTTTACAGTTGTTATATACGCGTATTTAAGTATTACTTCTCTTAGCGATTCTACGATAGACTATAATACGATACTAATTACCCTCGTTAGATGAATCGGAATATTACGCTTATGTATGTATATGTAATGATACAAATGATAGTCTTGATCGTTAAATCGTAATTCGTTAGAAATCGAACAAAGAAGGTACGACAAAATTATCAATTCGTAAATATAAAAAGACAATGATCTGGGATACCCGAGCAGAGGTATCATCGTGCTCCTTCATTACGAGCCTCGGCACACTAATTACAAAAATTGTTTTTCGATTGGATTGCCGCAGTATCTCAGTGCGCTTGTCATTGTATAATGTAAGGAACAGACCTAAAAATAAAAAAAAGGAACAAAGCAGAGAATCCACGAGAAGAAGTATATCCCTGCGATTTGAAACGAAATTTTTAACGACGCGAAATATCGATTTCTTCAAGAAGAAATACTTCTATTCTATATAGTATACACAGTACAGGGTGATCCATTTTGAAATATGAATTAATAAGATTCGAAGATAGCGAAGAATCGAGAATCGGTGAACACAAAAATGAGTCAAAATGCTATTGATAATTGGAATCACGATATTATCCTGGATATCGCCGCGATTCTTCATCCTAAATATATTTATCTTTAAATGAAGCACTCTGTATATAAAGCTACCAAGTAATTAAGATTGACAATAGCGTACGTCAATTATTCCCTTTCTTTTCTTTTTACTAAGCGCGCTCCGTAAGTCATAGTGGATACCAATAAGTTCAAAAAACGACGTTGTTATTTTCAGCGATGTCTAAAATAAAAATGTCTTAATGACCAAAGAATTGAATATTACTCGTTAATGATTACAGAAACAATGAAAAATGCCACGTATCGTATAAATTGAATAAAAAATTCGAAGAAAACATCAGAGGTTTTATTTAGTGATCCACTCATGCAAAGTATCAATATGAAACAGGCATCATGCAGACGTTAAGCGGCAAAACTAGCTGTTTTGTTTTCCTTTCTGTTTCGTTAATTATTTTATTAACCATTAAGTGCTTCAACAATATTTAATAAAATTTATTTTTATAACAAATGTAGTATTTAAATACATTCTTTTACGATGTTCAAATTATTTAAAATTTATTAATGGAAGAATATAATACTTTTAATTATTGTATATCGTCAACAGTGATTGAAGCGGCCTGAATTTTTGAGAAATAAATAATGTTAGCACAAATCAATTTGTAATTGTAAGTGTAAGAGATTTCTGGGGCTTCACAAGTATTCAACATTTTTTACGTGAACATACGGGATTATCACGCACACTATTACAGTATCCCCACTTACGGAAGTTAGCTGAGCAAGTGATTCGCCGCCGGCCAAACCAGAAATATAAACTCCGATTTTCTCTCTTCTAGTAGTGGTAGGACGTGGTGGCAAGTTGGAAACGTTGGGATTGGTAGGTTAAGAAGTGGTAGGAAAATTGGGAACTGGCGTGGTGGGAAGCAGTTGATGATGGCCGCCTGACATTTGAGCAGTTTTTTGATAATTTCATTTCGTTGAAAGTACGTCCATGAGGCACGTTATTCGCATGCATCAATGAAACGATAACTTGGTTACGATTTATTGAGGCAGGCGTTGTATCGTTGAGGGGAAGAAGCTTGCTGCAATTTGCCAAATATATGTACGAAGGGTTGAAGGGTAAGGCTGATAAAATATCGTTATCAGGCGTGCCACCGGCTGGGGTTAGAATCGCTCGAATTCCGGCATGCTGTGTAGGTGAAATTTTATTAATCGTATTTTTCCAGGAGGCTTTATAAATTTTGACAAAATGATTAAAACAGGAGAAGATAGCGAAAACCATGTTATGTATCAAATAGTGTAAGTACAAATTTGAACTTGTACTTATCGGAAAGCTCTTCATTTCGTTTCACTGATAAAGGATCAAGTTCTGATTAATCATTTTTATATGGTTGATTGTATGTTTATCTTGTTGAAAATAGTGTTCGATATTTAAAAATGTTCACTTGTTCTTTATACTTCATCATATCAATAAAATGGAAGCATAAAGTAAAGATGGCAATTAACTTATTTAGTATTAAACGTATATATCTATAATAGTAACCAGTGTTAATTATTTTCATAATTTTGGACATATCATGTCATATATTATGTATTTTATATTCAGGGAATTCAAAGGACAAGAAGACAAATATTCAGCTGAATTATTCACCAATAACATTACAGTCATTCCTTCACCAGGAGGACACAATCATGGTAGTTCAAAGGTGAAGTTAAAAAATGTTGTAGATTTTACATGGGCGCATAACTTTTACCTAGGCCAATTATTAGCTGTTCACATGTCAGGCAAATATTTTGCTTATGGTATAAAAGGTAATTTATATTAAATTACTGCTTGCTGACTACCTTCTAATATATAAACATAATGTTGTTTAGTCGGTAACGGAGGTGGTATGGTCAGAGTTGTATATAAAGAACTAGAACAAAGAGCTCTATTAAGAGGAATGCGAGCTGCTATACAAGATCTGGCTTTTGCATATGTCTCAAATGCAATTTTAGCCTGTGTTGATTATCTGGGAAATCTCTTCATACACTCCATTGAATCGACACCATCCGAATTGTTATGTAGTTTGTTACTACAAGTTGACGCAGAAGATGTATCTGTTACGAGTCATCGTGTGATATGGTGCCCATATATTCCTGAAGAAGTTCCATCAGATGGGGATGATATTTCAAAGCTTTTAGTTCTAACTCGAGGTTCGAAAGTAGAGTTGTGGTCAGTCAATACTGTTTCGTCAAGATTCAGATCAATAGAGGTGAATGTATACCTTACTTACAGATTTTAAAATGCATACAAAATGAATAAAATATACAACTTTTGACTAAATGACAGGCAAATGACCCAGCTGTAAAGGAAAACGGCGGAATGGTGGAAATTGATCAACATTCAGACACAATTGTAGAAGCAACATTCAGCCCGGATGGCACAGCTTTAGCTACTGCTAGTTTTGATGGAGAAGTGAAATTCTTTCAAGTATACTTGCATAGTAATCCTCATCCTAATCAAATACAACCACGTTGTTTACATCAGTGGAGACCGCACGATGGAAGACCTATTTCGTGCTTATTCTTCTTAGATGATCATAAAACCTACCATCCTGAGTAAATAATCTTTCACGTGCCACTAGATCTTCTTCATTCTTAAAATTGATGATCATTGTAAATTTTTTCTGTTCTCTAGTGTTCAGTTTTGGAGGTTCGCCATAACTGGATGCGACAATAACACAGAATTAAAAGTTTGGTCCTGTGAATTGTGGTCTTGTTTACAAACGATTACGTTTGCTCCGACACCTTCTACTGGTAAATTACCAGTACTAAAAGCAGGTTTAGATCTTAGCGCTGGCTATCTCTTATTATCAGATATATACAATAAAGTTTTATATATATTAAGTATAACAAAAGATAATGGGGAAGCGTTAGCATCAGTGAATACGATATCAGAGTTCCTTCTACCATATCCAATACTAAGTTTCGGAATCATCGACGCTGGTTTACGTAAAGTACGCCCCAATGGCGAATTAGAAGATCTAAATCCTTGTGATGAAGAAAGCGAAGAACAACTTGTTATCACGATGTATCTAGTTCAACCAAAGTCGCTACAAGAGTGTCATATCGCTTTTAAGCCTGCTTCGCAAATGAGTGGCAACTGTCTGATGGACACATCGACGCATAATTCGTTGGACTATTCCGAAGAATTGCCAGAAATGGGAACTGTTAATCATAATGGAATTTCAGAAGAAAATTGTGAAGAAGATCGTTCGTTATCTGCCACGATCGAAACAGCAACGAATCATAACACTGGCTTAAATCTAATGACACCTGACGCCTTCAGTTCGCCAGCAAAAAAAGAAAATAACGAATTAGATTCTCGTCCTAGTAGTCCAGAAATGGATAAAGTGCTATCTGCCAGTCCCTCACTTGCACAAGCAGCGCAAGCTTTAAATGCGACCGAACCGCCATTAGCGACGAACGAGTTAGAAGAACAAGCACCTGCTAGTAGTGGTAGCAGCCCATCCAGAGAAGTAAGGGAAATTTTATCTCTTTCGAAAGATGAAGAAGTGGAAGCAGAAACTAAGCCAGAGCCTACCGATGAAGACTGGCTTAATATTCCAATGGTATTATTGCAAGATGTGAGGCATACGATGCAGGATGCTGACGAACTCACGAACGAAGAAGAGAAAAGGAAGAAGGTAAAAGAGGAATCGAAGCAGACGAAACGCACTGAGAAGAATGCGGAAAATAGTTGGACAGTAAACGAATTAAATACTCTTGAATTGTTAAATCAAGTGGATTCAATGTCTGAAGTAATTCAAGTTCAACGAGAAGAACTAAGAAAGTTACGTAGCGAAGTAACTAGATTAAGACAAGAAGCACCTATTTCTACACGAGTGGAAACTGCTTTGGCCAGAGCTTCGCAACAACAAAATGCAACTTTGGAACAAACGTTATGTAGTCAAATGGCTCGCCTAGATGAGTTCGTCAACTCGCTTGAAACAACAGTGAAAGAAAAAATTGAAACCGTACTACCATGCGTCGTTGAGAGTACAGTAGAACCATTGAAGCATCAACTTAGATTAGATTCCATTCGAATGGATGACCTTTTAAAACAAAATTTGACAGAACTAATTAATAGCGCTCATATAAAAGATACAATTGCTTTGGCAACGGCAAATGCGGCAAAACCAGCTTTGGAAGCGGCATTTAAGGAAACCTTTACTAGCGTTCTTTTACCTGGTATGGAAAAAGCATGCCAAACGATGTTTAGACAAGTACAAGACGCTTTTGCCAGAGGTACTCATGAATGTAAGTCACTCGTTCTCTTTTCTTTAAGGAAAATGATTTATTTAGTTTTATATGGCCTGCATTTTTTCTAGATCTTCAAAATGTATACGGATTGGCAGATAAGCAGTATCAAGAACGAAACGAACAACAAAGCGAAGCGTTATCTGCACTAGTCCGTGACGAATTACAAACAGAACTTCATAAAGGCTTGTCTGAACTGCAAGAGGGAACAATACGTACAGTTCGCGATGCTATCAGAGAGAATTTAAATCAACAATTTACTGAGATTTCAAATGCACGGTAATTAGTACATACGCATTATACGAATTTCCATCAAATAACAATGTATCAATGTACTTATCTATTGTAGATCACGAGCTACTACTCCTGCAATACCAGTACCTGCAGTGGCTGATGCTCAAGCACGAGTTCTATCTCTTCTTCAAAGAGGACAATTAAATGCTGCCTTCCAGCAAGCTTTAAGTGCTAGTGATTTAAGCTTGGTAGTGCTGGTTTGTGAGAAGACAGAGCCTGCCAGAGTATTTTCTTGTGCAGGACCTCAAGGTACAAGGTGCATTTTGCAACAACCTGTAATTCTTTCGCTTGTACAGCAATTATCGGCAGATTTGGGACACCGTACAGAACTTAAACACAGGTAATGAGAACTTCTTATCCACTTGCCGATGTAAATCGATATACTTTCGATAAAAATACTTGTTCAATAATTATGATCATGAATATTTGTGCAGGTGGCTTGAAGAGGCAATATTAAATTTAGATCCTAATGATCCGGTGACACGAGAGCATATTGGCACTGTGTTAATGACTTTACAAACACAATTGGCTACTTTTGTAGCAGCAAATCCAAATCATAATTCTGCTCGGCGTATGAGGATGTTAGCTATGGCTGCACGTGCACTTTTAAGTCAACATCCTTGACGTAATATGCGTATGGAATAGAGCACGCCTATTGGCATAAGGTTTTATTTTATACGTTCTGTTTAAAGAAATACTTTAATATTTGAGAGTAGTATTCATGTTACTTCAGTGCTTAAGACTGGCAGTGATTTCTCATCGAATGCAAAAATATTATATTGTACTTTACTATTAACAGTGTCACTTAGCTTCCCAAAACATTTTTTCCTAATTTTATTTTATGAATGAAATGTATACGTTGACGGGATATTTGAGAGTTTACTGAAAAAATTATTTTCCTAATATTAAACAAATATATAAATATTGTATAGTAATACAATATAATTAAAAGGCATGATATATGAGATTCGTTAAAATAAAAGCAGTATGACTAGCTTAAGTTAATACTTATCAGCATTGATCGACATAACAATTTTTATAGGACGTAAAAAAAAAGTATTTTTATCTATTGATTATATATTTTAATAGAATTTTCTAATATAATTAACTTATACTCTCTGATTTCGCCCAAACGTTAGCTTTGTAATCTACAAGTAATGCATTTCATAACATGTATAATACACATTAAACTTTCATACACTAAGATGGAATGTGGAAGATATTTTATTGCTGTTTAAGTTGTAAACTTTGACGACTCTTTTGAAAGAGGTTTCTTTTTCGTAAGTTTTGTGTATAAAGATGTAAAATTATATTGTGAAATATTTCTATTTCATATCATTTTAGTTATTATTTTTATCTAATTCATATTTTCTTTCATTCGATACACTGCTACTTGTAATGTAATAAAACAAAATAGTCCTATAAATTTCTTATTACGGAGAAATAAAGCTCTTAAAATTAATATGAGTTGTACGATTCAAATTTTTGTAATGGTTAATGTGCTAGTTCATGAAAAATCTTCAAACCACTTTCTATTCATTAATAACTTGTATGTTAAACGGTACAAGTGTACGTACAATCATTCATCTTCCTATTATATATTATGTAACAAATATACATTTTCCAGTATTTAACAACGATTCTTAAACAAATTAAATAATGTGCAATTTGCATAGACTTTTTCATCTTTTTACATTTTTTATATTTTCTAAAGTTCTCAGTTCGAAATTAAGTGTTGAAATCTAGTGTTCATTATATAGTTAAATTAAAAGTATGATGTATAATGTATATTAACGAAGTGTCATATATTTTTTTTATAAATGGAATCATTTATTTACTTTCCTCACTCCTGCCAAATGGAATTATTAGACTGATAATATAGAAATCATTACTGAACATAACACGATATTAAAGAACGATGAGAAAACATCAATAAAAATGTATGTTTAAAATTCTTTCCTAAATCAATATTCTGCATAAAAATATTAGAAGTATTTTATACCGTACATTTCAGTGAATAAATACCTAAATACCAAATACAAATTTCATCAAAAAAACTTATTAATACTTCTGTGCGTATATATTTGTGAATTTATTTGTGCAACAAAAATACACATTGACTTATAATTACTTTACATTTGTGAATTAAAGAAAGAAAACTGTTTTGAAGAATCTGAATGTATATATAAAGGAAGAGAATTGTGAGATAATTTATTTCCACAAATACTGTAATATTTTTATACCTATTTTCAACTGATTTTATTTTTTTCTACCTGTCTATTTTTTACTTCAGCAACCAGTACTTCTTTAATATGTGCTGCTACTTTTATTTTCTTTCGCTTTCTAACTTTTCCAGACTTTTTCTCCTTAATATTCTTTGTAAGTTGAGGCTTCTTCTTTTTCTTTAAACAACTAAGGGGGTTTGGACCTCCCTTCTTTTTTTTCTTCTTCACAGTCACTTGTGTTTCTTTAGTGAAACCAGCTGCTTCCTTTAGGACTTTCATATTTTCTCTTTCCCACTCAGTCATTCCCAATCCTTTACGAATACTTTCAGCATATTCTTGGCTAGGTCGTGAAGGTGCTTCCAATGTTGGTGCTTTACCATGTAGATATATTATTGGAACACCTGGTATGTTCCTTAAGTTATCCTGAAGTTCTCTATCTTGTGTGGCTATAATATATCTGTAAGATGTACCAAGATGTGAATAAATAATGTTAATGTCTTAATTCTGGGAATGATAAATGTAAAAATTATTATTATACCTTGATGAATTATTCTTTGCAACCATAGATAATAAACACTTAGTACCACTAATTGAATGTTTTTCATGGCCACATTTATGTATTGAATACTGTTTAACTATTTGCATAGCACCATTAACTGCTTTTGAAAAAGAAGCTAATTTTTCAGTTTCAAGTATTATACATGGTGTGGTTAATAACTTGACGTCTGACTGAAGGTACTTTGACAATTGATCATGAATATTAAATTTATTCTGAAAGCAAATCATTATTGTACATCTAAATTAATATGATATCATGTATTTCAAGTGTGATAATAGTATTCAAATACAAACCTCCAATGCAGCTAAAGCAAATGTACCATCGATAAGAACTTGGAAAGGTGATCGAAATTTAAAATTATTAATGAAAAAACTTAAATTCCTCCTTGCCTTTTTCTGTCGAGCCGTTTTCATCTTGTTGTCTTTCTTATTTCATTTACAAATTGTGTCGCTTTATTGTGACGCATTTGGTTAGGTCTAAATAAAGCAGTATAAGTATAGAGGAGATCTGGAGCTAACCTTCCATAACCTGTTGCAATAATAGTAAACTAAGCGCGACGCTGTTTTGTGCCGATCGCTGAAGTCTTTTGGCGTACTTTCTGATTATACTACTTCTAAGGAAAGAAGATTGTTACTAATTTGATCTGTTAAGAGAATCGATCAAAATGTGCGTATTTACATAAAATTTTCTTGTGGCTAAATTAATTTGCGCCTCAAAACATAGAAACATAACCTATACCTTGTTATATACTTCAAATTTTATATACTAAGAAATTGTCCTTTAACTTTGCATTTGTAATAAAATAAACTTATGTTTTAGGTCTTCATTGACTAAACCGAAGTCTGAAATGACACCTGAAGAATTGGCAAAAAGAGAAGAAGAAGAATTCAATACTGGACCACTTTCAGTATTAACTCAATCTGTAAAAAATAACACACAAGTCTTAATCAATTGTAGAAATAACAAGAAATTGTTAGGAAGAGTAAAAGCATTTGACAGACATTGTAACATGGTTTTAGAAAATGTGAAAGAAATGTGGACTGAATTACCACGTACTGGGAAAGGAAAGAAAAAGGTAATAGTGAAAATATTTCTAAATAAACGTAATGAAATTAGATAGATAATTAGATAATTAAAATTCTACTTTTACATAGGCAAAACCAGTAAATAAAGACAGATTTATTTCAAAAATGTTTCTAAGAGGAGACTCTGTGATCCTAGTTTTGAGAAATCCTTTAGCGACAGCAACAGGAAAGTAATCCTATGTGCATGGGGGTCCATTACTTTACGATTTATACATAAACAAAAAGTAAATTTGAAATAAATTTTTCAGTTTCAGCTACAAATGTGTACAATTTATTCATATGAACACTTACATTCTGAATTTATTTATATTTGAAGTAATAAAATCAAATAGTATGAAGCAAGACATGACATTTATTTGTGTTGAATTATACATAAAATCATTAATCTTTCTCAGCAATTGCAGTAAGGTGCTTATCAATCTCTTGTTCTGTTAAGGATCTGAAATATAGAACAATATATATTACATATTTATTTATATTCAAACTTTGCACGTAATGGATGTAAGTCAATGAGAGTGGAATATAATATTTACCGAAATTTAGGATTGTCTTTTGATACTACACCAACTTCAATTTCTGTTGGTTTAAAATCTACTGATAAAATGGTAGATAAACATGTAATAGCCAACTGTATTGTTTCGTCGTGATCATAGTTCTGCTTCTTCTTTAGTTTTTTCTCCAGATAAGAATTAGCTTCTGTTTGTTTAGCACCAACAGATATAGCTCTATAACCACAGTAATATCCAGCAGGATCAGCTTTATAAATGCACGGACCCTTCTCTTTGTCATATGAAATGAGCATCATAGAGCATCCAAGAGGTCGCATTTCTGCATTTTGTGTATATACTTGACTAATATCTGCAATGCGTCTGCACAATGCATCCACAGGGATTTCGTAATCATACTTGTACTTGAAACTAGCAGCTTCATATCTTGCGCGTTGAACTTGAGATTTACTGTCAGCTAGAAGTTGCAATAAAAATGACAGAGTTACTTTTACTAAAAACACAAAGATCCTAATTATGAAGCTCGTCATGAGGGTTTTACTGACCTATCATGCCGGTCATAAGACAACCAATATGATCAGTGAGTTGAAAAACATGAGTAACACTGGAAGCATCAAGCAGCTTATCCTATAAATAAATTTAAGAAAATTTATATATATTCTTATATACTACTCATTGAAATTTTTAAATACTACTTTAAATTAATGCCTTACATAGGAATAGTATTATAAAGAGCTCTTAAAACTAAGGGTACAAATTTTGGAGGTTATCTTACAGGCACTTTCTTTTGTGTTGCAAAGACGGCTGTGTCAACTCCCTTCACCGCAACCGAAGTCAGTCCACCTTGGTTTATTGCTTTAAACGCATATTCTGCAAAATATTTATCAACTACATTAAAAAAAGGGTCAAAATTGCTGATTATGCCATGTCATTATTCGCGCTTATAAAATCGACACAGCAAGTAAGTTAGGAATACAAAAGATCCGAATAATTGATTAATTTTATTGTAAAATATGTCCACGAATCTTACCTACTTGGTAAAGTCGCCCTTCCGGCGAAAAAATAGTAATATGTCTATCAAATCCAGCACTACTGCCTCGCGCCATATTCGCAAATAACGTAAGTACGTAAGGTAATAATGGTCGCGCGTTTAAAAGTTACAGGCAACTTTTCTAAACGTCAAATCATGCAGGACATGCGTTAAGCCAGTTTACATTAAACGATGATCATTTTTCATTTTTATCCAGAACATGTAATTCAAGCTTTCACTTGTATAGGAATACTTTATATATAAACCATATTAAATTGAAAACGTTATGGGTACAGTTATCCTACCTTTAAAAATACATGTGTGTAGTATTTCTAATTTAATAATCGAATTTTTAATTTATAATAATAATATATACTCTATTAAAACAAAAAAATATATTCAAATTTCAAGTTAGCTCAAATTTTCTATTGCTTTTAATTATAACCACCTATATGATTATCGAGGGCCGCGGTAGCACCCCGAAGGTAAGTTTGAATCTAAAGTAATAAATATATAGAATATTTTATTTAATATTACAATATAAATGAGGTGAGACTTAGAACATTACGTATTTGCTACATATGTAGGCAAGTATTTACTGATGTACATATATGTACTATGAGTTATCTATATCATTTCAATTTTGTGGATGGAATTCATCGCGACTCTGAACCTGAATTCTGAGACTCTGAAACTCTGAGCTCGTAGCTGCAGCGCCCGCAGCAAAGGATGCGCTTATTTGTGCGCGTTTTCATCCACAAGCGTTTGCGCGTGCGTTCGTGTACCATGCGCGATATACGCGAATATGTGTGCAACACACAGTTTATGCGAGTGTGAGAAACTGTGTGCGCGTGTATACGTCCATCATGAGTCAGAGTCAGATCTACGGTCGGTCCGTGTTTCGTAATTAATTTCCACGGTGACGAGAAAAATGCGAACCTAGACCCGGGAGACTACGATTCCTGCTCACTTCCGGGCCGCTTGTCCTCGTAGGACATGCCCGTTGTGCCCGGTAAATCGCGTACTTTTTATCTTCTTCCCGCTCTGGCCTCGTATCCATTATGTGCGTCTAGTGTTGTGTTTTCTTCTCTTGTTTCTATCATCGTACCTTACCGTATCCCGGTTCTCTCCTTCCGGTGGATTTGCGTATCTCTCCCCTTTTTTCTTTCCCTTCCCTTCTTTTTCCTCTCGTTTCGACCAGAGGTACATACATGTTGTTTAAAAAAAGAGATACGAAGTAATATTCCTGTCTTTCTCGATTCTTTCGAGGCGCACATAGTTTCCCTTACAATCGACCAGACCATGATCGTCCTCTACCCTCTTATATGTAATGAAATTTCATGTCGCAGCAGCGTGTAGCAAAAGGATCGTGTTGGAGACGGCATTTCGGGCCATCAAAAGTGTGCGGCACACAGATGGTTGATTCCCCGGCCTTCTGGTTGCGGCCGATTTTAAACTGTCAAGTTCCGACGTTGATCGAACTTTCACAAAGAAAGAATGGATTGTGGATTCTTTCACATTGGTCTCGTTCGACGGGCTTACTTTCGGTTTTCTTTTCTTTCCTCTGAATAGTACATCTCGAGCCAGGTACATGTTTGTATTGTTTGTGAAATTCATCGTTTGAAACTTCATTGATTTTGATTAGTGCCTAAGAGAATGTGTTGTACTTTAGGTAACTTAAATTATTGAAAGAAAAGTTAACAAAGGAAACATGGATCCAAATAGGAACAGACCTAGCAGACCACGTATTCGTTCTCATGGCAATTCTGCCAGGATACTTGTGTTTGATCAAGTTGAGAGCGAAGAATCTGCTTGCAGCACTGAAACAGAAACACAGAAACGACCGATTCCGCTCAAAGTAGAAAGCAAGGAGGCTCCAGTTCGGCCTGGTCAATATAATTTTGCATTGTTTTATCTGCTTGTCTCTTCACAAATCTAATTAGTTTTTAATTCTAGTTAGTGGAGAACTGTCAAATCTGGTTCGAATGAGGAATTCGGCAATTGGAAAGTCTGCACCATCTTTGTCTGTTCATGTGGTTTGTTAAATCTTGTTATGAAACTTACTAGTTAACAATCGTTGCATGTTAATAATATACGTGTTGTTCTTCTAGCGTGATTTCAACATTCCTCGACGTGCCGCTAAAGCAGTTCATCGGAAATCTTTTATTTCGACAACATCTCCAACTCTACCACGTTGTCATTCACCATTGTCAGGTATATGATTCCGTTTGATTATCTATCAATTATTTGTGTTACAAATAATTTTTCAATGACATTTTATGTAAACATTTTATTTTTGTGCCATCTACTTATGAGTGCTATATGTTTTATGAAAACATTACATAAGCATTCTGGCACAACTTTACCCAAGATTTAAAAATATATATATCTATATATACATGCCCACATACATTTATCCAAGCTTAAAATATTGAAAATTGCAAGTTTGCGTGCAACTTTAATTTCAAATGTTTAGATCTAGAAATAGGTTCTGTTCTTAAAAAGGAATTACTTTTAATTGATAGATGTGTGTACTTCGTATCATCTGTATATTTCAACTGTAATAGAGAAATTAATTTGTTTTACCACGTGTTTCCCGATATAGCATTCGTCCCGATCGTAGGCAGTCCTCTAGAGAGTCCTAGGATGTCATCCAGTCCACATTTTGCTTTTGCTCCAATTAAAAGGTATCTATTTCACGCCTACTTTTAGTACTCTTTGAATCTAGTCCGGTCACCTATGTAAATAGGTGTCGCCGTTGGGAGTATTATATTTTTAATACATTATTAATAGTAAAGAAAACAAATGATGATGCTGAAACTGGCCTGTCAAAACTATCGTAAAAAACGGAGAACATGGGTGTAAGATCTTTAGTTACCGTAATGGTTGCTCTTCATATAACATATAAATTCTATCAAGTAGTACTTGTATTTGTCACATAGAGTACATGAAATTAATTTTATTGTAATATTCAAATACGTGTATCGTTCAAGGATCGGCGGAAGTGCTACAGGGACGGGTGATGGTAGAAGATGGTCCGTAGCTAGTTTGCCGTCTAGTGGATATGGAACGACACCGGGGTCTAGCAATGTTTCGGTTAGCTATTTTATTAAAACATTCACGAGAAAATATTTCAATATTTCATAAATCACGGATAAAATTATTCACGAATTTACTTAATTAGTCACAGTATTCGAGTCAAGAACGCTTGCATCAACTTCCGAATGTCCCTACTAAGGATGAGTTGCGCATGCTTTCCTGTCATTTCTCTAAACCTGGTACGCCGTGCTCTTCGCATCCGGGTTTCCCGGGCTCCAGCATCTCCAGCATTCCGGGCAGCGTGTCGCTCAGTCTCGATGAGGAGGGTCGTAGATCGCCGTTGCACAGACCCCGTTCAAGAAGCTTAAGGTAAATATAATAAATGTAATATATGTTCTGTTTCTTAGAATGTATTTATTATTAAACATTTTTTGTTTGTTCAAATTACAGTAGTCCAAGTCGGTCTCCTGTATTGGACAGCGAAATCGTTATGATGAACACCTTATATAAAGAAAGATTTCCAAAGGTATGAATTTCAGCAAGAAATGAATTTAAATCTACCCGATAGACCTTTGTTTCACTTAAGAATTAATTGATCAGGCAACGCAACAAATGGAGGAACGTTTGACTAATTTTATCAATGAAAATAAAGAATTGGATGAATACGAGGTAATGACTAACATGGCCCAAGACTCATTACCAATTTTGCGATTCGTACACCATCAAGTAATCGAAATGGGAAGAGATTGCTTGCAAAAATCTCAAGAAAAGTTGATCACCACTAGATATTTTTATGAAATGAGTGAAAATTTGGAGCATTTGCTGATGGAGACGAAAGATAAATCGCTCGAAGCGGCGACGAGATTAACCGGGCTCATCAAGAAATTGTTACTAATAATATCACGTCCAGCTCGTCTTTTAGAGTGTCTAGAATTTGACCCAGAAGAATTTTATCATTTATTGGAGCAAGCCGAGGGTCAAGCGAAAATTAACGCGGGAATAAAAACGGATATACCTCAATATATCATTAACAAACTTTCCCTAAACAGAGATCCAATATCAGGTAATCGGTATTGCTTGTTGCATTGCATCGGTGACAATATAAAAAAATAATTTTTACTCTGTTTTCATAATTTAGAGTTACAAGAAGATTTAAACAAATTGGAGGATTCAGCGAGTTCGAGCGATAGTAATTTACAAATTACTTCAAGTCCGGGTAAAGACGATGAAAAATCTCACCGCATTCCATGTGAAAGCGATTACGAAGTATTAAAATTAATCAGTAACGGCGCGTACGGTGCAGTATATTTAGTTAAAGAAAAAACTACGCGACAGAGATTCGCGATGAAGAAAATAAATAAAAACAATTTGATACTACGAAATCAAGTGGAACAAGTTTTTGCCGAACGGGACATAATGAGCTTCACAGACAATCCGTTTGTAGTTTCTATGTACTGCAGCTTTGAAACAAAGGTATGCATCATACTATCAGCGTGGTAATATGTAAAAATTGTTAATATGTAAAATTATACATTAATATTCTATTAATTGTAGAAACATTTATCTTTGGTGATGGAGTATGTAGAGGGTGGTGATTGTGCGAATCTTTTAAAAAATATTGGTCCACTGCCACCAGATATGGCAAGATTTTATTTCGCCGAGACTGTTTTAGCTGTTGAATATTTGCACAATTACGGCATCGTTCATCGAGATTTAAAGCCTGACAAGTATTAAATAGAAATATATTGTAACTAATTAATGAATCGTTTAAAATATTTTATGCGCCGTTTTCTTTCAGCTTACTCATTACTGCCCTTGGTCACATTAAACTAACTGACTTCGGTCTCAGTAAAATGGGTCTTATGTCCTGTAAGTAGTACTGAGATCTGAGATTTTGAATAATATTTAAGAACGATTATAGACGAAAATTTCAAATGTTTTCAGTGGCGACAAATCTTTACGAAGGATACATCGATAGAGATACGAGACAGTTTTCAGATAAACAGGTATTCGGTACACCCGAGTACATCGCTCCCGAAGTGATACTTCGTCAGGGATACGGAAAACCGGTTGATTGGTGGTCCATGGGCATTATACTCTATGAATTTCTAATTGGCTGTGTACCATTTTTTGGTGATACTCCGGAGGAGCTATTTGCTCATACAGTTAACGGTGAATATCGATAATAGTTCAATACAATATAGAAAAGATAGTAACAATAGAATAATTCTTCAACCAGATGATATCGAATGGCCAGATGAGGACGATTGGATCGTTCAGCCAGAAGCTAAGGATATCATAACGGCGTTGTTGCAGCAGAGTCCTAGAGATCGTTTAGGCACCGGAGGACCTCACGAAGTTAAAGACCATCCGTACTTTTATGGAGTGAATTGGAACAGTTTGCTTAGACAGAAGGCCGAGTTCGTGCCGCAATTAATTAACGACGAGGATACTAGTTATTTCGACAGTACGTATAATGCAAAAGCATATGACGTAATATTTATTCCCTTCACTCACAGATGAAATAATATTTCAGCTCGCATGGACAGATATAATCATGATATTGGAGACGATACTGACGATACAGATGACTCTCCTTTATTCGGTTCTTTTTCCTCGTATTCGCCACAATCGCGAAAGATATCTCAAACCCGTCCACCGCTAATAAATCCCGAGCAAGCTGAGTTAGATGCTTCGAAAAAACAATTGTTCCGCACCGAGCTCGAGCGCACGGTTGCACAATTATCCCTTGGATCGAACAGTTCGACTACGCCTCCATCCAAGTTAGTGGAATCGACTCCGTCGGAAAAGAATCGGCCGTTCGCGTCTGTTAAGAGTAACACATCCACGTCCACGTCCTTCGAAACACCTCCGAAAGCAGATAGATCAAACGCATCGTATACTAGCCACGCTACGGTGACCAGTGGCGAATCCTCGCAGTTAACTGTCCTTAAAAATAGTCAAGTAGAGGGAACATCTGTCGGTTTAAGCACGCCCGACTCCTCACAAACTGAATCCGAGGATATCAGTCCACAGATCCAGAGAAAACGACACGTGCACTCACGTGACAAGCTGCCCAGGTTCAGTATATCCATTGATGATGAACACATGTGAGTCATTCAGGCATACATACATCTTCCAAATCGATTACATTACCAATCATCAAAATTAATAATCAGCCAACTCATTACTATTATACTGAAAATATTTGTTGCACTACTCCGCAGAGTTTATAGTACACACACAATAAGTATTAGTGCAACATTTGCGAATTATTTTTTGCATTCCTAATCGGATAAGAACACTACGCCTACACTGGTACGTAACAAATAAGTTTCGTTTCAGGTTGGATCTGATCGCAGCTAATAGAGATTCGACCGAGGACAATTCTAGCAAGCACAATTCTAGTACCGATTCGTTTGAATCGTTCTGCGCCATGCCAATTATACCGTCCGCGAAACAAAAATCGCGGTCCGTAATAAAGTCCGCGTCCACTAGTGGTTTATCATTGGTGATACCGGCGAGTGATTTCTCTTGTACGTTTCATATGTATTATCAAGCAATTTGCATTCGTCTCCTTGTATTTTTTAATTATTATTACGGGATCAATTATGCTCTTTCAGATGATGCATCATTGAATACTCAACAAATTGAATCTCCTGGTGGATCCTCCACTGCTTCATCAAGAGATACGTCCCCTTGTCGCGAGTTGAGTCCATTGGTGACCAGTTTGAAGCCTCCGATCATTATTCGAAGAGGGCCATGTGGATTTGGCTTTACCGTGCACACTATTAGAGTTTACTACGGAGACAGTGATTTTTATACAATGCATCATTTGGTAATGGTAAGTTCAGGACACCTGTGATGAAGTTAAAAGTTTCTCTGTTACCTACTTAAGTCTGTTCTTTTTCTGGTTGTAAAGGCTGTCGATCAGTCCAGTCCAGCGTTCGAAGCTGGTTTAAGACCAGGAGATCTGATAACGCATATAAATGGGGAACCGGTACAAGGTTTATATCACATACAAGTTCTTCAGTTGATGGTGAGCGGTGGTGATCACGTCACGCTGCGCAGCACACCCTTGGAGAACACCAGTATTAAAACGGGCGGACGAAAGAGAGACTTGACTCAAAGCAAAATGGCACGCAAAACGTTGCATAAGCAGCGAAAGTTGAAGCGTGATCATTCCGATAAGAAACGAAAAACATCCCTTTTTAAACGAATTAGTTCGAAACGAGCTAGTGTAGAGATGCAACAGGTACAGAAGAAGTGAATTTTTCTTCAAAGTTTGTCGCTTTCTTTCAAAATTCTGACGAAATTCGCTCGAGAGTTGTTCTTGGCTTTTTCATGTGGTACTCGAGAGCATATTAAATAACGCCTTATGTATTGTGAATATTTTATAATTATACGTTGTTCTCTCTATTTTTTTCTTTTCAACACGAGACTCAATTACTACTACTACTATTACTATGCGCATAAATACTAATTCACCGACAAGTTGTACGCAACACACGTTATTATGTTAAGTGTTACGTTCTTTCTTTATTGCAGCCATTAACTATCAGTTGTCCATTGTCAGCACCCATTCTATCCAGCGACAGCAAACCTCCACTTATGGTATGGTTTTTTGTAAACATTTTTTGTCAATTTCTTGCTAACATCGTTTAAGTTGCTCTTTCTTTGATCGATGCTCATTTATGCCCGATACATGGCAGCTTTTAAATGCCGATTTCATTTAATTGACGCGACAATGTCAAAGTTTTCTACACTGTACACTAATCACAAAATATGTTTTACTTTAGCATTAGAGAGGAAAAGAATTTGCTCAGGCTCCTAAACAATGTTTTATTTATCGCTAAGCAATATTGTTGTTTTAACTTCTTTCAGATGGCTGCAGGGATTTGTTCTCCATCGATGGTGACGCCTAGTCGATCTTTCCAATCGTTCACACGTTCCCAGGAGACGTCGCCGTACTTCGCAGCCTGTACCAAGTCCGTCTGCAGTCCGTCACCGCCAACAAACCGCGTCAGCTCAGATTCTTATCACTCCACCGGGAACTCGAGTCCATGTTCAAGTCCAAATTCATCGTCACCCAGTTCTACTACGTCCGCCGCGAATTTACCGACCATCGCGAATCAATCTCATTATCAGAGGCCAAGCACGCTTCATGGTTTGAAGCATAAATTGCACACGGCGGCGAAGAACATACATTCACCAAATCGCAGAAAATCTGTGGGTCATATACCATTGTCTCCGTTGGCCAGAACTCCGAGTCCGTCACCGCTTCCAGCCAGTCCAACTAGAAGCCCTAGTCCGTTAGCATTTCCCACAGGGCATCAGCCTGGTAGTTCTAACACTACGCAGTCTTATAGTCCAGGTATTTATGATATAACTCTAGTTTAATACAAATGTATACGAATCCTATTAGGCCCGTTTTCTATGGCGAGATAGTTAATAGCAAACGTTTTGCATAATTTAGGTGTCTGTCTGTCAACGCCGAACAATCAGAAAAAGGGCTACGGGCGTCCGAAATCGGCTGAGCCTGGTTCGCCATTGCTGAGAAGAGCCCTTAGTCCGGACAGGCTACATCCTCGTTCTGCGGAAAATAAGACGTCAATCTCACCATTGGCGAACACTGTGGTGAAAGTGACGCCCCGAGCGACCATATCACAATCGTCATACTCGGAATCGACCGAGGAGTGCAATGAGAGTTTTAAGGAGCTAAACGACTCGAAGCCAGAGAAGAAAGTGTCAGCGGAACAGAAAGCGGATTATTCAAAGATATCGCATGGAATCTCGATAAACCTGGGGAACGTAACCATGTCTAATTCGTGCGGGAGCACGCAGCTGCCAAGAATAGCCGAAGAAAAAGATTCACCGACCGGTTCCAAGGCCGACGATTACTCGAAAGAAGCTTTACCCTCCAAGTTCGACAGATTCGACAAAACTGACACGAACAAATGGATCGAATCGGAAAACGTCGTTGAACACGGTGACCATAGCGAATCGAAAACGGAGAGACAAGTTTTGAGTAGTAAAAACTGCGAAGCCTCGTGCATTATTAGTAAAATCGAGGAACAGACTCATTCGGATAATTCCCTCAACAAGCATACACCGCGTAGTACGCAAAACGTAACTCATAAGCAATCTCAGAACATCGAAAGAGGCTTGCAAAGCGCTCCGTCTCAGAAAACGCCGTCACAGATTAATGAGAAATGTTCACAATCTTCGTCGCAAAAGATTTCGTCACAAGGCAACGAGAAAAGCTCCCAATCTTTGAACCAAAAGACGTTGCTGCAAAACAGCGAGAAAGGTTCGCATGGTTCAAGCCAAAAGATGTCATCGCAAAGCAACGAAAAGAGTTCGCAATCGTCTGCTCAAAAACTTCAGTCGCAAGCCAACGAAAGGGGTTTCCTGCAAGCTATATCGCAGAAGACGTCCCAGAGCAACGACAAGACTGGATCACAAAAACCGATTCAGAGCAGTGATAAAACAACCATGTCATCGTCTCATAAAACGAGCGAACAGAAGGGGACTGGAAAAACTTCGGAAAATAATTCAGAAGGACGAAAAACTTCGAAAAAGCATAAGAACGACAGTTCAGACGGTTCGAACAATGCGTCTTCGAATCAACATTCGACTACGTTTGAGACTCTTGGAAAGGATAAAAAGAATAATTAAACTGGAATGATCGATTAAATTGAAAGATCTTTATCTGTAACGACAAGACTTCATCTGCGAATGAAAAAGAATGAACCGTGTGTGTGTTTTTTCCTCACGTATTTCTTTTCAATCAAGGGGAGTGCGAAGCGAGCAAATCTAAAAAACATGAACGTGGAAATTCGAGTAAGATCAGAATAAATGAAAAATCAAAATGAGAAAGGAATGGAGTAACTAGTTTGGAAACTAGTTAGAAAAACTAGCTTTAAAGGGAAGTGGTTTGATACTCGAATCAAGTATTTATAGGCTTCCATCGAATAACACACCTGAAACACATAGCTTTAGCTAGTATTTCTCACGACGTGAATTAAGAGTCGCTATTTCTGTAACCGGCAATCTTTGTTGTACGATCACTGAACAAACAAAATCGTAAACGAGATGAGAGAGCAAATGTCAATCATTTTGAGAGCAGACGCGATCAGTTCGAAATTATCGTTACTGTTTTTCAAGCGAGAATGTAAGGCAAACACAAACACAAAGGTACATTGGAGTTATTTATACTTCGGGCTACAGTATTTACACGATCTCATTTACATTATAATTATTAGCACATCATAGATCAGCATATAGCAGTCAGTGAATTACGTGCAGATAGTTTTTTCAATATGTGTAATATTCGTCAAGTAAAGGAACGAAAATAGAAAATGAAAAAAATGAAAGCAACATGTATCGTATATACTCGTGTTTTAAAGATAAGAATTTTTACTTATCGTTTCTATTTTTTTTTTTAAATATCGCAGATGTCTAATGACAATTTTATATAATGTAAAGCGCGTGGCAAGGGCTGGACCTGCGCCTATTTTATGTGTTCTAAAATTAAAGTGTTTTTCATACGAAACTTGTTCCCATTGTAAAGTGTGTTTACGAATATACATTTATTTGAAATTGAATGAGTTTTTGCGTTGTTAAGTTTGCTTCTTCTATGAATGATATAAAAAAAAACCGTTCTAAAAGAAATCGAAGTCGGCCTAGTCTCCCGCGAGTATATACGGTAGTAGGGGCCATTATCGCCGCAATGATTATCGTACAAGATGCTCCCGCATGCACAATAAGACATGTAAAAAATATATATATTGACTCTTCAACCTTTCCTCTTGATTTCATACACTGTGATGAACTTTTAATTGAAGTTAAAGCGAAAATTGGTGCTAACATTCATTGCTCAGGTATCCTCGCATGCGAGAACTGGTGCTCCTATACAATTCGTACTCGTGCAGAAAGTGATAGAAAGTTGAAAAAAGTTAGAAAATGAAAAAAGGTGATTTTTGCATAGAAACGAGTAAGGAGAACGTCAACGGTCTTTAACGATGTAGCAAGAATATATCGCGTTGGAAGCATCTTGAGATTTTGGCAGCGATAAAAAAGGGAAAGGCTAAAAGTTGCAAGCGTCCCGTTGTAATCATTTTTTCTTCTTTTTTTATTAGTATTAGAAATAATCGTTAATTTATTCTGTATATATATATATATATATAAAAAAAGAATTGTATATTAGTTGTTAAGGGCAGATTGTATGCTTTAATTGTGAAAAGAAAAGGAAAAACAATTGAAACCGGAACGGACCACGGTTTCCAGTTTTTTTGAAAGTCCAAATTGTTCATTGCCGCACTTCTCTGGTAAGAAAATAAGAAACATTGCCATCAAGCTTTGTTACAAGTATGTGTGTGTCATATTTCTGCCATAAAAATACGATACACTTCGTTCGCGTTATAATAATCCCGCTATAACTTTTTAATATTATCGATATACACATCGTTAACGATGATGATCAACTGTGGTGATATTCTTTTGTTTTTAATATAAACTTAAAATTGAGCGAAGGAACCATAAGTAGCGATAACGTGTTGCCATTCGTTTAACTGTACCTATTAATTGAAGAGAAAGCCGCATAATAATCGATTGTCGTGAGCGTGAATCAAGTTCGTTTCTGTGTTGTGGTGGATTGTGTACGCTATGTTTTAAACGTAGGCGTTATAGACGATAAGGGAATTACTTAAACAAACAGGAAAAAAATACAAGTTTTTAGCTAAAGAAAGCAAACTTCATCTATCGAGATCGAGAGGCACGAATTCTGAAAGTATGATGATTTTTACCCGTGTATCACTTTTAAAGGGTTTTTAATACAAACGACCATGAAAAATCTGAAATCAATCTCAAATTTTTTACTACATACTATATACTCTGTATTTAATTTATTCTGATAAATAAATCGATTTCTGGTCGTTTGTGAAAACGGCCTCGTCGTGTAGGTAAAACGCCACGAAAGTTAATTTTTAAATCTGACGAGAAAGAAGATTCAGTAGCTGCTTAATTTATTAATTGATCTGACTGTGTTATTAGAATTTTTATAATGCCTCTCTTCTCTGTCCGCATACCCATTTTCTCTGCTTAGCGTACGGTTGATATACTGATCAATAATATAACGTTGATGTCGTCTTAATTAAGAGTCTGAGTAGTCGTATTGCGTTTACCGAGGATTACGAGACAGCATGGATGAAGTTCTTTCGAATCCGACGAATTTTCGCTGCTCAAGGAAGTTAGTGCTATTGGGAAAAGAAGAAAAAGAGCATACGAAATTGTAGACACGTTGGACATTACGGGACATCTCACGTTGTCACCCGATAAACTCTTTCTAAATCAGCGATAAACACAAGCGTCATGATGTCGATTTCAAAATTTAAAAAACGAAAAAGCAGATGAAAGAAATTAAAGCAATCCTACGGAAGACTTCGATGATTGCTTATTATTAATGTATCGTAGTAAGCGTATAATAATGATAACGAAGCTAAGAAAAATCTTTGTAGAAGCGTAGACGAGCGACGACCGTTATTACTTTCGTTACTTTCGTTTTATAAATTGTTTTTATTCTCTTAAAGCACGTAAAATGCGTAAGTAACGATGCACTATTAATCAACGAGATCAAACGACTTCCGTTTCATAATTAAAAAAGGACTTTCAAGAGCTGCCGTAACAACGGACGGGATCTCGGGGTCGTAGTAAGTTAGGTGTTCCCACGAGTTTGCATTTCCATCGATTCGAGTAAAAAAAATAGCAGAAGAGAGATATTTTCCGAATATTGTGCGCGTGCTATTATGTGCGATGGGGCGAGACTGTCAACGCTTTATCCATTGGATATTGTTTCGTTACGTTTAACGCGAGTTGTGATCATTGTAAAGTATTAAATACAGTTAGAAGTTATTTCACAGGACGAGTTAAATACTGAAAATGATTTTCCGCTTTTGCCAAGTGTTGACGTATTTTCAAATCGGCGAATTCTCGAAATTCTTCGATTTGTTGATGATTAAAAGGGAATTAAGTCGTTCCCATTTCAGTTTTCGCGAGAGCATAGGAAAATTTATAGTCGCATAAACTGGAGAAACAATAATAAAAAACATTTGTATAAAATGACCATCGATTGAGCTGAAACTTCGGTCTCATTCACTCGTGGAAAGATTAAATATTAAAATTGAAAACAGGAAGCGGCGTGGCGCTTCGCAATCCATATTCAAGCTCTTTCATTAACTATTTTCTTTTCCTTCGCCTTCGTCTCTTCTTTCCGACATGGTCGACTTAAATTATTTTTCTTTGTGATAAGCGAAGAAAATATTCTCCATGAGAATGTTTTTCAGCGAATTCGATGAACATTTGATAATTATTATGTATATTACACATTATGCGAAATACAGTTTTCGTTTCTTCTATACATGTCTGTTTCTATTTCTCCTTCCCATTTTCCTTATGAGAAAAAGGACATTCATGTAATATCTTTCAGTATATTTTAGATATTTCATCGCAATGAAAGTAGAGATTATAAAAAGATTGAACACGAATACGCATAGATGAAAGAAGAAAATAGAGACAAAATAGTAAGAAAGAACTTACCGATTTCTTGACGCTTTTAAAATAGTAAGAATTATTTGAAATCGAGTACTCATTAACGTGATACAGCATACAGCCCTGAAGACCGTATTTGATGATTGCTATAAAGGAAAGAAGTTATAGTGGGGGACGTAGGCGATTACGTACGTTGCCTGTCACGTGTGGTCGTGGCCGTGGTATAGTGTGGGCGCAACTCGACTGATTCAGAATGGGAGACCAGACCAGAGAGCAGCGCACGAGTCTTCTGATTCTCAGCGCTCGGTATCTCGCAGTCAGTATGAATCTATGAATCGAGACGGTTGAGTGGTACGCACGATGATGAGGCTTGTCATATTCTTCTTGTTTCTATTCTACGGTACGATTAACGGTAACAATGATACTTTGAACAACGTAATCCCGGACGACGACAAGTCTGCGGTGGATGTTGAAGATCTGAACGAGCTGAACAGACTCCCCACGAATAAGACTCTGAACGAGCTTTACGAAGATGCTGTTCGCGCTTATCTCGATGAAGACTGGGACCGCTGTATCGAAAATTTCAACGTCGTTACTCACGGGTACGTGCCGGGATGAATGAAAGTTAAATACTCTACTAGTATGAATGAAACTAACACGCTGAAAAAATGAAATACGAAACGGAAAAGGATTTAAATAAGAGAGAAGGACCACGTTTTTTGAAGATGGCAGAGTGTAAAAAGTAGCAGAAATTTTGTCTGTTTTCGTTCAGGTACAAAGCTTATAAACGGGCGATCGTGAACTGTAGACAGAAATGCCGTGAGAAGGCAATCGGCGAGGCTCCAATATTCCCGGAGAATATTGACGATCTACATTTTTACGAAAAGAAAGTGAGAGAGACTCTGTGTCTCTTAACTTGCAATCAGGAGTACCGAGAGATCGCCGGTTCAAGAGCGCTCAAGGCATTGCCGCGTGAAACAGAGCAAAAATTGATGCAACACAAGACTTACGAGTATCTACACATTTGTTATTATCAGGTAAAATTTTTTATTATAAATTAAAATTTTTTTATTCAATTTTATTTTTTGTTTAAATTAAAAATTTTTATTTCATTATACTTTGCTCGTACTTTTTTCGTAAGTTTGATCTTATTAATGTGATTTATTTATAATGTAATTACTTACTAATAATTAATATGTACGTTACGGTTATTTTTACATGAATAAATTAGTTTTCGGAAATAATGGTATAGAATAACAAAAATTATTTCAATTAAATATTCAATATATCTTATAAAAATTATAGTCGTATAGTTATTTCTAAAAAGAAAATGATATTTTATATATAGCG